CTTCAAGTGGGGCCTTTGCTCCACTTCTTTCCTGCAGACAGTGAGCCCAAGTACGGTCTCCACAAACATGACCTATAACGCCAAGACCGGATTGCTGGTGAAGAGTCCCCAAGATTGGGCTGAGCAGGCGGTGCACACCCTTGGCCTCTCCTCCCACACCTCTGGGTGCCTCAGTCACGCGATTCAGGTGCCTCCCTGGGCTGCAGGGGTGGGCCAGGTGTCCCGCACTAAGTCCTCTCTCTCCCAGGGGGGGAGACAAGCCCCCCATCCTGAGCTGGGTAGAAAGAGGGAGGGCTGAGAAGCCCAACAAGGAGAAGGACACTGATCCCTGTCCATTCTTCCTAGACCTTCCTGATAGGTCTCCTGCCCGCCTGGTGTACCTGCAGTCGCTGGACAGTCAAGTTTTTGTCTCTGGTGGTGTCGATAACGCTTGAGAGAGTCACTAAGGACCAAAGTGCCCCCCCGTTTGCCCCACACCTGCCCAATAAAGTTCAGCCTCAAGGTTGAAACCACGTAAAGTTCTGCACCAACGGGAAAGAACGTACCTTTGTCAGAAACCAGAGAACCAAGGACAGTGACCACCACCAAGGAATTGGCAAACCTTGAATGATGGCGACCTAAAATATCGATCTGGAGCCATCATGATGATTGATCAGGAAGACCTGAGCTCGGGATTCTACCCGAGAGGGCCCGGCCCATTCCTCCTTCCCGTACAGTGTGTAAGCCACCCGGCCCTGAGCTCCAGGCTGATGCACATGACAGCCTCAGCCCTGCTCATGCACTGGTCTGCCTCAGCCAGCCTGCACGCAGGCAAATAATAAACGCTGCTGCGTGCAACCCACTTGGCCTGGTGACTGAATTGAGTATCTTCTCTCGACCTTACAATAGCCACTTTTTTTTCACCCCCCAAGGCAAAAGGGTAGGGGAAGGGGTGAGGTAGGCATGGAGGCTGGTCGGCCCACTCCTCTTTCCAGCGTCCTGGGCCAGGACTGTGAACTTTGGTAGAAATGTGCAGGCTGACCAGTGCAGCAGAACTTGACACCTGGAACTGACCTTTAGACCTCCGGGGAAAGTTGTATGTTCTCAAGGCACTCCATGTGTGGGTCTCTGGGTTTACCTTGAGGAATGCATTCTAACATATCGAATTCCGTAAGTCTTTGGACACCTGTTTTTACATTATCCCAAGGAGCCCTGGTGGTGTAGTGGTTAGGCATTGGGCTATGCTCCACAAAGTCAGCAGATCAAAGCTACCAGTCACTCAGTGGGAGTAAGCTGGGGCTTCCTACAACTGAAAGAGTTAAAAGTCTCAGAAACCCAGAAGTGGGGTTCTAGCCAGTCCTGCTGGGTCGCTATGAGTCAACATCAACTCAGTAGCAGTGAATTTTGAGTTTGAGGGCAGGTCTGGTGCTTTAACTCAATTTAATGTAGCCAACACATAATCCATAGTTATGTTAGAAAGGGTTCTCTAGAGAACCAAGACCAGAACGCTTATAATTATTTTATATTTAGATAGATAGATAGATAACATAAGAAACAAACAGTTAATTAATCTATAAAGCAGTACAAATGGCTCAGTGCAACTCACTTCCATGAGTCAGCTGTGAGACACTGGCAGACCTTCAAGTCTTGAGGGCCACTGGGAAGTCCTCTGTAGAGCAATTCAGGCTATCTGGCCACAGGCAGAAAACAGCAAGGCAGGTCACCAACAGTCAGCCAGATGACAGGGTCCGACAGTCCCAAGCTCAAAAGATGTATATTCCAATAGTTTGGTGAAGCAGGTCTTGAAGGAACCTCAAATTACAGTGACACAGTCCATGGGTTAGGTGTCCCACAGGTAGTGTAGCTTGCAA